AAGAATTGACTACAAAAGGTAGATACACAGAGGAATCTGGACTATCACTTCCATGATTCCTAAAGCAAGTAAACGCCTGTGCGTTCATCCCCCTTCCACCGGAGGGGAACATCAAAAGAAAGTCTGATAGAGTAATACAGATTGATGACAAACCAGATCCGGGGCCTCCCGTGAGATCAGGTCAAAGCTACTTCAATACATATTGACCAAAACTAATAAGAAAACTTAAATATCAAAAGGTCTTTCACCCTTACAGTCATTCTTCTAGGCGGGACCAAAAGGTCACAGCCGTCTATGTTTGTTTTGACCTCTGCAAAGCTTTGTATACTGTGTGAAAACAGGCCACTGGCTACAGTTTATTTCAAATTTGGCGCAATTGATCTCTGCTTTCAAAGCGCTGAGCTTTGTACATAAATCCTAGAATGAACTCTTAGCCTTGGAAAGCATCAGAATGGTCTCATTTTCTTTGAAAATGCTAAGTGAATTTTAAAAGCCAGAAGGGTCAGTACATAGTCCCAGAAGGGTAAAAGCCTACTGGTCACAGCATTGCCATGAAAGGTTTTAAGATGAGATTTCCAAAGAGCCAGGACAAAAAAAAAAAGGAATAGATTTGGTGCCTCAATTGCAAAGTTTAGGTATACCAAACTACACAGGAAGTGAAAGATAGGACAGGAGTCCAAAGAACTAATCTATCGCTGCAAGGAGAGAGCAGATGGAACAAGTCCACAACAAAGAGTGCCAGAGTTATTTACTGGCACGCTACCGAAGTGTGAGCACTCAAAATACAGAAAGATACGGGGGCACAGAGTTCACGTACGTTCACACAACAGAACTGAGTTTGAAAATAGCACCAAAATTCATATTCTCTGAGCAAAAAGCAAGCTGATGAATCACTCAGACTATTTAGGAGGTGATTGGAGGCCAACCTATCAAAACACGAACAGATTAGATGGAGAGGTGTTAGCTTAGCAGCCCTGAGACTTCAAAACCTGATAGCAACATGCCCAGACAATAAACGAACAGGGGGTACTACGACGCTTTGCACTTCATATCCACCTCTCATTTTGCTTTTTAATTACTTGTGTTCTCAAACAACAGCGAGATCCTGTGGAAAACATGGTGCTAGTAAGAGGTAGGGACCACTGTATTAGGACTGGATTGTCCGCTCCTAGCCATGCCACAGAGCGACTTGAAAATCAGGTCTAGTTCCGAATTAGTGGGTAACAATGCTTTCTCAATTCATTTTTTAGTTCAGTTCAGAATGATGGCAAGTAGCAAAAGGGAAGAGAGAAATAAAAGGTTAAAATGGGATCTTACAACATTACGCTACCAATAAAAGGACAGTACACAGGAAAAAGAGAAAGGAGTTGCACTGATTTGTACCCAGAGTACACGCTATCAAGCAGATGCAAACACACGAATACATGAAGAGTTATTCTTCACCTGTTTGATCTTGTTGCGCGAGTTGGTGATGCGCTCTGTGATGCTCTGGTACGTGCGGATGGCAGTGGTGAGCTCGGTGTAGTGCTGGACAATGAGCTCATCCAAATCCCGGTCACATTTCTCATAAGCTTCTTCCAGACGGCCCTTCTCGGTCTCTCGGTCCTCAACATCATCACTGGTAGACAAAGTCCTAAGAACAAAAAGATAACAAAAATAAGGATATTTTGAAATTATCTATAAGGACAATTTTTAGCCTTTGCCCAAAAAACACACTACCTACTGCAAACCAGTCATTCTTATTAGTCTATACACTTCACTGAGTGAAGTGTAGTTCATTTCTGGCAAATGTGTCCGTCTGGTGCTCAAGAGAGAACGATATACTTCAGAAAAATAAAAACCCATAAATACCGTGGTTTATTACTTCCCCAATTTTCAGATACTTCTGAGCTTTTTTACTACACTTTTATGAAAAGGGAAAGTTATCTTTTAGTTATATTTCCAGAGAGTCATTAATATGGACACAGTATACCATATGAAATATATCTCATTTATTACTTACAAAAAAACATAAAGAAGAAATTCTACTTTGGACTCAGCGACCAGTGCAACTATTTGTTTAGGAGTGTTGCAGTTACTACTACTAACCTGCCAAAAGCACACTAGGGATATCACAAGCACACAGAGAAATCTGCCAGCAGCCTACCCGTGCTTTCCAATAGCCAACCTGTTTTCAAACATAGACCCATACAGCAAAGAAGTGGCATGGGCCCTTATTTCCCCCCCTCATTTATTTTAACCTCTGAGTAACATCATCTGGTAAGATTTTTTTTTATTATTATTTTTTAAAGCATTGAAGTTTGAGATTCCAACAAAACTGTTGAAAATTTAATGGAACTGGCACAGGAGACAGAAGTTTCTTGGTGTCACTCCAAATTTCTGAGATTTACTCAAGAATTAATACAATCTTCTCTTTCTCCCTCCCCCTCTTCACCCACTCACCCCCTCTTGAGACCCATCCTGCCACCGCATCCAGAAGCCCACCCCTGGAATGATTCGATCACACTATGAGAAAGACCCAGGAGACAGCAATACCAAAACCCCATATTCTTATATCCTACAGTAGGTAGCACTCAAGCTGGTTTCTGAACAAAAGTCAACCTGAATTTTCCTTTTCCTTTATCCTCGGAAGGGTAGGAACGGTGCATACAGGGTTCTGTTTCAAATCAGACGAACAAACATTGGAAACTATATACTTCATGGTGAAAAAAGTGACCCGTTACAGCAGTTATGACCTAGACGCTGGTGTATCACAACCTTAAGAAGCAGCAAGCATGAATTCTGTAGTTCTAACGATAATTTCTGAACCACTTCAAAGAACTCACAATGAGTAAATAAGCAACAATAAAGATATTTAAAAAAAAATAAATCACTGCATACAGACTGTTTTGGATCATATGCTCGAACATCATGAAACAATCACAAGTTTTAAAGAAATCTGGAGCATTTACTTGCTGAAAGTGAGATGTCTTTAAAAATACAAGCAGTAGAGCATGAACACGTGGAGACTATTATTCCATTTAAATCACAGAAGTTTAGGCCTCTGAACTGAGGCACCATCTGAAGAGGGTATGCGTGTGTAAAAAATACAGTAAAAGGCTACAACTGCCATTGTTTCCAATGCCGAAGACTGTGAAAAAAATACACTGCCAGGAGTAAGATAGAACTTCTTGAGTTTTTTTCTGGATTTCTTAAGCTATTTGTGTAG